AGTTTACTCACCCCTGGAGCCCAGCTCTCTCTCCAGTGTCCTGCCCCAGTCACCTCTAGAGCCCTGCTCAGCGGGCAGTGGGATGGTGGTGGAGAGAGCAGTGAGTGATGGGGGCGGGAGGAAGAGGTGCAGGGGTGGGGCATCGAGGGAAAGAGGTGGAGTTAGGGGCAGGGCCTCCGGGGAAGAGGCAGAGCAGGGGGGCAGGAGAGGTTCCAGTGCTCAGTGTCTGGTTTTCACAAATGAGAAAGTTGACCACCCTACTCCAAAACAATCTCTAGGCCCAAGCTGCTCATAGATACAATCTGAGCCATTTCCTGATGTGACTTTGTCCTGAGGGCAAAAGAGTTTTTCAAAGTGTCAACCCTCGAGTCAGCCCAGACAGAGACAAGGCTGTTGGGAGTGATAGGACCAGCACCTGGATCCCAGCTGGCGTGAACCAAACATTTCACTGCTATCCCCCTATTCTACTGCAGCTTTAAGCCCATGGAGAAGAATGGTCCTGCTTTTGTTCTTTTTCTTCACATCCCCTTCTCTCTCTCTGGCACAGTGTTTGTTAGGCAGTGAGTCCTGACCAGTTTTATTGGTAACAATGTGTTTGAAAGGCCTTTGTCTGGCTCTGTAAATTTCTGTTGAAGTTTATGACTCACGAGAGGTACCACAGAATGCACCGGGCAAAGGAGCGGAAAATCCCAGCTCATAAAAAACAAGTCTCAGTAACTGCACCCAGAAGAAGGGCTCCTGCAGTTTGCCTAGGGAGTTACAGTTGGGTTCAAGGAGAGTCAGGATTTGATTCCTGTCTGGTGCATATTAATAAGCAATGGGAAGCAGCTGATAGAATGCCCATCTGTATGGGTCATAGAAGATGAGGGTTGGCAGGGACCTCAGGAGGTCATCTAGTCCAATCCCCTGCTCAAAGCAGGACCAATCCCCAACGGGCCCCCTCAAGGATTGAACTCACAACCCTGGGGTTAGCAGGCCAATGCTCAAACCACTGAGCTATCCCTCAGTAGTAGTTTCTACTCCTTGGTGTCCTGTGCAGAGGAAGAATTTCCAAGGATTTGTATTTACACTGGAAGAGGTGGATACAAGGCCTGAAATCAACCCCCACCCCCACCCCCCATCACAGGGTTTAGGTGGCAGAGCTGGGGGATCTAACGCACCAGCTTTACCATGTCTCTGACTTCAGACTTGACACAGTCTGCTGCACTGCGAGTCCTGATCCACAAACACTCATGTTCAGGGCTGGCTTTAGATGCCTCCTGGTGTCAACTGATTGAAGTGTCAGGAAAAGGATTTACAAAGTCGGTCACACTAATCTGGCCACATGATGATGACAGATTAGGCCAAATGAATCCTATTGCTGAATGCATATTGGCTGCCCCAGGTATCTAGTGGTTAGTGCTCTTATCTGTACAACTGTTTAGATTCCATCCAGGCCCCTGCTACCTGCGTTGGTGGCAGTAAGGGGGCGTGCAGGAAGCCTGCTCAGTTTAACAGGGACCACTCTGACCAGTTGGGCTCTGAAGAGCCAATTATTCATATGGATTTTAGAGGGCAATCTGCCTTCCCACTCCAAGCTAGGGATGGGCAAGGGTTACAATAAGGGAGGTGTGGGGATACACAGCTAAAAGCCGAGGGAGGAATGTCCCTCTTCTACTAGGGTCGAGGGAGCAGAACTCCCCCAGGTCCACCTCTGTGCCAGTTGGGTTTGGATGAACTTTCCCATCCTTATTCTGTCTCTTTCATACAACCCTGTGCACTGCAGCTAGAAGTGCTAAATACTCAGAGAGAAGCCGTTCCTGTGTGATTTCCAGACTCAGCTGTGTAAATCCAAAATGTCTAGATTATTCTTCATGATTTGTATTACTGGGACGCCTAAAATCCCAGTCAGAAACCAGGACCCTTTGGCAAGGCGCTGTACAAACCTAGAATAAAGAGACAGTCCCTGCCCCTTACAGTCTCAGTAGTGTCAGCCAAACTTTTGCATGCTCATCTAAACCTCTGTCCCCTTTCGGAAGCTCAGCCCCTGCCATTGCAACCCACAACTTAGAATAAAGGCGTTGGCCACCTTACAGTTTCATGCATGAATATTACTCTGAAGTATATTAAGTCACAGCCTCTCTTTTACATGCAAAATAGTGTGTTGAAGACACACACACACACACACACACACAACCACCACCTTTGGCTGAAT